CCTGGCACGGCCCGCGGAGCCGCCCCGAGGGTTGCCCAGCGCCGGGGTGGTTGTGCTTCCTAAAAGGCAGGAGTCGGGCCTACCGGCGCCAGGGGCTGCGGGGCGGGAGGGGGCGGCCGGGAAAAAGTTACCTCGGTTCCCGAAGTGCGGGCGAGCGGCTGGTCGCCAGTGTGCGACCCGAGCTGTGGGTAAGGTATCCGGCGCTTCCTGTAGTTTTATTTAATCGACAAGACTGAAATTTTCAATTTCCCTGGTGGATTGAATGAATTCTACCTGCTCTTTAGACCAGGCTCAACAAAAATCACATGCAAAACATAGTAAAAAAAAAAAAACAAACCAACCCAAAACCTTTAATGCCCAACAACGCAGTAAAACCGCAGACATTAAGGCAGCGCCGCAGTCAGGGAAGCTGGTGCTGGGACAGCCATAGCTCCGTCCCGCAAACCCCGTGTTGCCCTCTGTGCCCTGGTGTTAGCCATCCTTTCCCCCCACAGCGTGCTAGTCTCTCCAGAACTTGGTATGCTTTTGTGTTGCTCGTGGGGTTTTTCCCCCCCTCCCCGACTTGATTTTCTGCTGATTTGGTCCCCTAAACAGTCCTGTCAGGCTGCTGTGTGCAGTCACACCAAGGAAAGGGCCAGAGCATGGTAAACTCGATGGGCATGCTTTGAGGCCCAGTTAAATGTGTTGTAAACCTCATAACTACCTGCTTTAAACTGGTAATGCTTCTCGTAAAAAGATGCTGGGTTTTATCTGTTTGTGCTTTAGTGTTACCCAGGTACAAGAAAATCACCTTCATTTTGGGAACACACAGTACACATGCACAGTAGTCTAAAATTTATTCACACAAACGTATGCTTTTAAACTGTAATTAAGGCAATCACTTTCAACATTAATCAGTTTATCCCATTCTCACCAGCACAAGTTTCTTGTTCCAGGTATCGTGAGACTGCTTTACAATTTGATGTTGGGCACTTCGGCAGGTGGATGAAAAGACAGATATCTGGAATAATGTGGCTTCTCTGCAGACAAACTTTACCAGTTTGCCATCTTCCCCTTGCTTCTTTTCAGTGCCTCCCATCAGGACCGTGCCCCTGTTGGGGCATGCAATGTCTGTATGCGCTGAGGAAGCAGCTCTCACCCAGGCAGCCGTGTCAGAGCAACAGATCTGCTCCATGTGGGCATGTGCGTGTGGCAGCACGCTGCCATTCCACGCTGTTGGGGCCCACATTCATGCTGTTTGAGCCAAAGCTTCGTTTAGGTACTGATCTGTAGAGATGCCTGGTTTAATTGCACACTAGAGTTTTGCATAGTTTGTGTTACAGTCAACGCGATGATCTTGTTGCATCGATAAGCCTTCTGCTGTAATGAGACCAACACCTGCTCATTTACAGGGTCTTTTGTTTGTTTCAGAGGCCTGAAACATGGCAGTCAAATGGATCGGTGGACATTCATCCTCTGTACTGTGCTTGAACGTAAACACAGAAGGGCTGGTGGTTTCAGGCGCGGAGAAAGGCGAGCTCACGCTCTGGGATGGGGGAGGCACTCCAGCAGGACAGCTCCAGCTCCCGAAGGCAGACGATGTGACCTCCGTGGTGTTCTCTCCCTGCTGTCCCACCAGGCTGTATGCCTCCCATGGAGAAACTATCAGTTTGCTGGATGTCCGATCGCTCAAGGAGCCCGTCGAACGCTTCCACGTGAATGAGGAGGAGATCAACTGCCTCTCTGTGAACGAGACCGACAGTTTCTTGGCTGCGGCAGATGACTCAGGGGCAATAAAAGTTATGGACTTGGAAAACAAGAAAGTCAGCCGGTCCTTAAGACACTCAAACATCTGCTCCTCTGTTGTCTTTCGACCTCAGAGGCCTCAAAGCCTTCTTTCCTGTGGACTGGACATGCAGGTGATTTGCATACAAGTAGATGGTTATTGGAGAAGCGAAAGGGTAACTACCCACCTGAGTATTGAAGCGCCAACAGGCTTTCACCTAGAGATGAAAGACTTCAGCCTGTGGTCGCCAGACAGCTCCTTAACTATTCTAAAACAGTTTTGGTGGAGAAACTAAGTGTCAAGGCTGTTTGTGCCATTACATACTCGGCACTTCCTCTCCCAGTTTTTATATTCCTTAATATTTACAATCTAAACTTGAGCAGGGTGGGGGGAAATCAGAATATGGTGCAAAGCATGCTCATGCCACAGGAGCTCCCTGATAGACTGAGCAAAACTAGCAGTTGTCCCTAGTGATCAGTTATGGCTGCAGACAAAATGCAGATGGTAGTTAGGAAAAGGCAAAATGCTTGAAGAGACAGGATCTAGCAAGAATACTTCACTACAGGTAGATAAATATCTTCCCAAGTGGTATGTATCAGTGTAAGGACAAGTCATTTTTATCATTCTATCCTTTGTTCTGATTAACCTCTTGGAAGCATTAAATGTTCTTTACCTTTTACACTCCTCTATCCTCAGGAGGAAACTTTGTCCTTTGCATGCCATTTGTGGAAGCATTCTGAGAAAAACGGTGCTAGGCATTAATGGAGTCTTGAGTTATGTTGCCAAAGGTGGCCACCCAGAACAGATGTTTTGGGGTAATTTCTTTCCAGTGATTGAGATCTGACCATGTTCCTGGTTTAGCCCAAGATTAAAACTATCACATCTACAAAAGTTTCCATGCTTCTAGTGGTATTAGGGTAAAGTTAGCTTTGACAGCATTGAGCAGTTTCACCCTATGTTCTTAAACTTGATGTGTGTCTAACACCCATTAGAAGAAACACATATATAAGCAGTATTTTTCCATATTGAAGCTATGGATCGTATACATTCAGTAAGTATATATATCCAAACAGGGGCTGATTGATGGAAGTCTGCCAGGTTTAGACTTTGCCACATTTTCAGAAATTTTCCAAATTTTATTTTTTCTTAGGTTGACGAAAAGATGAATATAGGATTTTAAATGAAGTACTGTGAGAAACTTCTTTTCAGAGGTACCGAAGTGTCAGTCTGAGAAGAGTAAATTCTCAGCACCTTAGACAGATGGCTTAGTTCAGGTCCCTAAAATGCAGGGACTCCACAAGCCTATGGCTGGTAACTTTTTATCAAAATCGTAAGCATTTATATATCACTTCTGTGTCAGTGAATTGGTTATTTTTTGTGACTTTTTAGTATTATTTACTGTAGCTCAGCAAGTGGTTTCTTAGGTGAAAGTCAGTATCCCAAAAATAGTAGGAATTTGTTAGTGTGCTTTTGTACAATGAAAAGAGCCTTTTTCCACATCAAGGTTGGCTTTAAGACACGTCCATTCACAAACAGAAGCTGAGCTGCAATACTCTGAAATGTTGTGCTGCAGCATGTCTTTGGACAAGTTACATGCTCTACGAGCATCAAAACATGTTCTGGGCTCGCATGTCAAACCCTCAGTGAAGCTGTAGCTGATCAGAACTGAAATGTAGGTTGCTGGAGTTTTTTCAGAACTTCCATGGAAGCAGGGAAAATGCAATGAGGGCAGAAAATACTTAGTTTGCAGAAAACTTGTTAGCACTTGATGAATTCATAAAGCTGTGGCAGTGCTGTCTGTGATGAAAACAGGACTATTTGCTTTAAGTATTAGGACCCAGCCTTTCTGATTTATTCTGCCCTGCACAGTCATTCTGGAAAGTGTTCCTTTTCATCGGTAGCAAAGTAATTTTAAGGTAGCAGCAACAGCTAAACCAGAAAAGTGACAGGAAACAGTGTGTTTTGATGTCTTAGCGTGATTTGGATTCCAGAAACACAGAGCCAGTGTGACAGCATTTTTGTGGCCCAGATTTAAAGACTCCTGCACTTTCTACGGGAGATTACAAGTGGAGGAATATTTTTATTAATAACAAAGCTTTGATTAAAAAAGCAAACAGCACACCAGTACTGCATTAGACTGACTTGTGCTTTCATATCTGTCAGCCTTGAAAATGCTCATCATCAGTTCAGATCCTACAGAAGTATTGAAATTGCTGTATGAGAGCGCAGGGTTCATTTGAGAGGCACAGTTATTGCTTCATGACAGGCTTGGAGGTGGGGTGGCATTTTAAAAGCAAGTCTAAAAGCACAACCTCCCCCCAGCTCATCAGGAAAAGTGCACCCTACCTCGGTATGGTAATAGCACAAATCAGATCTACTCGTTGGGCATAAAAAAAAAAAAAAAGTACATGTATGTCTGTTTAAAAATGAGGGCCTGAACTACTGTTTGCCTTTTGCTTCTCCATTTTTCAAACACGTTCATGGAAGTGGTTATTTTAGGACAAGTATGTAGCAGAGACAGAACTAAAATTCAGAATTATAATGATCTCTATTTACTGCCAGCGTTTCTCTGTCTCTCTGTTTAAATAATTGATGTGCAGTAGATCATCATTACTACTGCTGAGATGAATGGAAAATCATTTAGAACAGCTTTTTCATCCATTTTGTGGTCTAAAGGTCTGAGTCATTGACTGCTGAGTAGGGAGGTAAGAGGGTTTGGAAAGCATGCTCTAAAGATCTGCTGTACTTACCAGCTGAAGGTCAACCGCCCCTCACAACACATCTTGCATCTCTTGCACTCACACACAGCCTTTGCTAAAGCAAGAAATGTGCTTGGGTTTTTTTTACTGTAAGAACTGATTTTATGTAAAATGGGCAAATTATTAATTCATACTTTTTTTCAAGGTTATGCTGTGGAACCTGCAGAAAGCTCGCCCCTTGTGGACCACAAACCTGCAGGAGTGTGAAATGGAGGAAGACAGTCCGGAGTCAGCTGGCCAGTTCTTTAACCCACCACTTGCACATTCCCTGTCTGTCGCATCGTGCGGCAACATCTTTGGCTGCGGAGCTCAAGATGGTAAAGTCAGAATATTCAGAGTCACTGGTGTCAAGTTTGAACGTGAGCTGGAGTTTCAAGGTCACTGCTTGGGAGTATCGCAGGTCCTCTTTATGCCAGAAGCGTACTGGTTGTTGACTGGAGGGAATGATGGGAAAGTCTTGCTCTGGGATGTCAGCAGTGACATTGGAAAGCAGCAGAGAAGTCCAGCAAAATGTCTGCAGAGAAGGAAGGCCCAAGCACCCACTTCCACCAGAAAAGATGGAAAGTTCAGCAAAGTGTCTTCAAATGAACATGCCACGGTTTTACCAAAGCTAACCATTGAGCATGGAGAGAAGGTGAACTGGATCTCGTGTGCAGAGATCAAAGGCTCTAAGAGAGTATTAGTTGCTGATCAGAGTAGTTCTGTATCTGTGTATTCATTGCCAGAACCTTAGACACTGAGATGTTTAAACAAATTTGTGGGGGAAAACTACTTCTCAGAGCGTTTGAAATGAGTCCGCTGACTGAACTGAACAGTGAAACCTGCTGTGTCCTTTGTAAGGGAAAAGGATTTGCTGTGTACTCATGTGAGTACTCGTGATGTAACTGGCCTCACGCTCTGTTTTTTGGGGGCTGTTGGTATTCACTGCAGCTGTTTCTTGCAGGGTTGGCAGTTTGCTTCTGGAACTTAAGTGAAACGGGTTTCAATGTATTTAGGGGTAATATTAGTTCATGACTATGCTGACATAATTAAGGTTGGAGGAAGAAATCCACGCTAATGGGGACACCCACAGTGCTAAATGAGGATGCAGAACAGTAACAGAGATGTCATGAGCTGCTTGCATTTTGAACTATGGCAGTGCTTTAAAGTACTCTCCCCATGAAACTGTGTCACAGTTACCTTAAATTGGACATAGTGGAAATATATTTTTCATTAGTTTGTCAGCAGGTGCATGTAACACTAGACAAGCATCAACTAATGAGTAATCAAATTAGTTTAACTGTCATTGCCAATTGGATTTTTTCATGCTGCAATAAATGAAGGAGCAAGGGAAAATGTTAACATCTGTTCAATGGGTCAGCTGTCTTATGCATTTAGTTGTTTATCCAGGGAAAAATAACTGTTACACTTGTCTTAATAAATGCTTTCTCTCACTGCTCCGTTCTGCTTATACTCACTCTAATATTGCCAAACTTACACAAAATTGTGTCAAGAAGTGTATCGCGTACCCCATGAGAGAGGGAACACAAAGGGCCAAGTGCACAGCTTCTCTTTACCCAAATACTTCCACTGTCTTCCCAAAGCTTTACAAACACAACAAGCAAAACTTGGCTTGCTAGAAACATCTCTTCATTTGCAAGTTGAAGGTGGAGAAAATGTAACTAAGTGGGAATGCTGCAGCTCTTGACATGTTTGGTTTGTGCTGGATTTCCCATGGAATGTGCAAATAACGATAAGAAAAAAGGCTTTTTTTCTCAGGCTGTTCATATTCTTTCACAAAACTGAATGCCTGGTACTGGCTGAAGGCCTGCTTCACTGATGTGGGGTTTGTGCTCCCTTGTTTCACCAGCTGGGCTGTTACCAGATGCACATTATCTATCTACCTTTGTTTTTTCTTTCTGATGGAAGACTGTTCAGCTCTCTTTTTGGATACCCAGCTCCTGAAAATCATTAGCCAGTTGTGCTGGCTGCTCATCCTTTATGGAAGAGATTCTAACTGCCTTGGTTTTGCTCAAAGCAGCTCCCTGTAACCAAGCACAACTCATTCTCTTCCAAATCTGATTTTACCATCATACTTTTTTTTTTTTTTTTTTTAAAAAAAGGCAATCTGCTTGTACAGCCTTTAACATCAGAAGACTTTGGCCCCAGACATGAACTGGTGGGTGCTACAGCAAGATGAAGCCATAACACAGCAAAGAAACAGAATAGTGTAGGTACCCCCTTTTGTGTCACCTCTGAATTAATTTACAGATGAGGACAAGTAGGATCAGTGGGTCAGAGGAAGCGGCCCGGATGTGTAGTTCAGCGTGTGATATGTTCATGAGCATGTGTCTGTGTCTATTTGGATACACAGTCTATAAAAAGCCTCGGTACAAACAACCTCCCGCAGGAGTCAGATCCCCTGTTGCTGCCTGCTTCAGGAGAGAGGATCGAGCCCACTCCAGTTTTTATTTCTTTTCTTCGTGTTCGCCAGGAAGATGGCTAAAGCCAGCATCTCTCTGCGCGTCCTGAATGAGACGTTAAACAGGTGATTAAAGGGTTGTGCTAGCACTGCGCCAGGGGCCAGGGGAGGGCCAGGGGTTTCGGGGACTGGTGCAGGGGAGAGGAGTGCTTGTGCTTCCCTAGGAATTTTCATGGGTAATAGGATGTAAATAGACATTGTGTATATATGGGGAGGGAGTAGTTCATGAACAATCTTGTGTTTCTCCTTTACTCACTGGGGAGGGAAGGGGGATAGAGCCACAAGCTGTGCCCTGTGGTGAAGGCCATCCTGGCCAGCCTGCAGACCGCTTGTCCCGGATGTTTGCCACAGGATTTGCACAGTTGCTCCATCGGTGAAGGCCTGGAGCTGCATGAGGTATGGCCAGGCCAGTATGAGTAACGGGAAATACAGGTTTGTGCTCCACTACTGTTGTAAATGGGAGATTTGGGATGAATTTCTGAATTTGGGTAAATGCCTCAGAGTCTGGAGGGTTCAAAGATAGGAAGTAAGTGGTTATCATTAACAAAAAAAAACCACAAACCCACAACAAAACAATGGAACTTCCTTGTAAGTTTAAAGAAAAAAATCACTGTCGCTGAGGAAATGGGATGTGGGTGACACTGATTCACTCTCCATTTTCAAAGCCTGTACTCAGAAAGAGGTATGCTTGGCCAACAGGTTCATCAGCTTCATGTAAAATAATCTGGCCCAAACTGCCCCTGCTGGCACCAGTCCATGTGTTCAGCTGCAGTGTGACAGCACAGTCACTGGTAGATGGTGTCTAACCAGCTGGGCAGACAATCATGGGATCAAATCTAAGCCATGAGCACAGCTCTTCAGGAAAAAGAGATGAAAAAGGGTCTGAAATTCTCCACAGTTAGAGACAGGCGAGGCAGTGTACCCTCTTGGTGGATTTTCACATGGGGATTTTGATATACTACCTTGAAAGGTTCTGGTGCAAATAGTATCAAGCAAGAAATCTATAAGTCAATTTAGGTGTTGTACATAGAACTCTGGTTCTGGTTTTACTGGTTACAGTAAAAATGATCACCGTCTCTCGAGAGTACCACAGCTGTATTTCTGTTTATGAAATTAATGTTTATAGCTAACACCAGCTGATAGACTTAGTGAGAAACTGCTCCTCTGGTCAAGATACCAACATTGTTCACCAACGGCTTTTATGACTCTGAGTCATGCAACAGTACTCACAAAAAATGGTACTAGAAACCTGACCAGAGAGAGGAACCAACACGGGAACCACTCCTGAAAGAAAAAGTGAAAATGAAATCTGTGGGAATCTGATTGAAGAAGCGTGTGTCTAGCTGGTACCATGAAATGAGCGTACAGGAAGAGCTGTGGAGAAGTGTGGGGCTATGTGTTGGCCTGGAAAACAAAACCAGTGCGGGAGCTCTAAAGTAATGAAAAATGTCATTTTCTGTAAATGCCTGAACAGCAGCAATAAGGTTATGCAAACAAGCACGCTCGCAGAAAAGTGGGAGTGCTAGGGCTTTTACTGCAAACCTTCCAAGTATGTTCTGTTAACAAGAATAAGAGCTTTCTGGTAAAGAGTGGGGATGTGGTTTGTGCATACGGACATAAGAGGTGGTGGTTTAGAGGTGGTGGCTGAAATGAAAGCAGGAGGTATAATCCATTCTTCCTCTTTTCATTCAGAACTTGGATCAAGAGGCAGCATCACTGATTCTATCAGAATTTATGAAAAGCTGTAGAAGATTAATTACAGAGATAGGTCCTACCATGGTGTAACCGAACAGACATTTTTAGAAACATAATCAGCAAATGCTGAAATGTTTTCTACAAATGCTTAAAAATATACAAGTAATTTACAGACAGGCAATGTATCTCATATCAAAAAAGTGCTAGAAAGACAAATCTGGTCAAATGCTAAAGCATTGGACTAAAGGCTGCTGAAATACAACTCCAGCACTGACAGTAGCGTTAATGATCTTTGATAATTTTACTATTTGTAGAGGAGAAAGCTCGCAAGAATTAAGAAGCTTATTTACCTTGATAAAAAACTGCAAATCAGAGAGCAATTCACAGGCAAGTATCTCCCCTAGGACAGCACTCATTATCCACCCAGCAAACCTTGAAGAATATACTCATTTTGTTGTTAATATACTTGTTGATGTTAATATACTCGTTCTGTGACAATTCCCCCCCTCTCTCTCAAAGAGTACTTGCACCATGTTATTCCTAAAACTCTCACTATTGGAGTTTCTGCAATATCACCTGGTTATTATCCTACTAGATTATCTGCTTGTGCAGCTATAGATATGAAGTGGATGTGAAATTTAGGCACAGCAATTATTGACCCACCTCAGCTTATATATACACCTGCTTTCTTTGTGCTGATAGACTCAATCCCGTTACAACATACGAACTCTTCCAGTTCTGAACTATCTACATTGCTATATCACACAAACTCAGTTTTCCAATTAAAGTTCTATTATAGTCCTAAAATTCTCTTGGCAAACATGCACACGTTTAAATGGGTGAACCCCCACCAAAAGTCCAGGAATGATGTTGCAGCATGAGGGGTCATAATTTGTTGAAATCCAGCACTCAGAAGAACTGTGCCCGGTTTCAAAATCTCTGCTGTGACCCAGCAGGAGGCCCTGAGAAATAAAAATCTTGCTGAAGCAAGAGAAGTCCTACCAAAGTAAGATCAGGATGTCAGCAGCTTTCACAAGATCGCAAAGGAAGTCTCCCAGCCTCAGGAAACAACCAAAAACTGTTAGACAGAGATCTGCCCAAGCTGCCAGGTAGCTAATGCATTAAGTCAGGGAGACTTAGAAAAATATGCCACTGTTGATACCTTTTTATTTTCTTCTCATTCAGACAGAACCCAAAGCAGAAGAGGAAGGCAGGTAGAGGGGGGAGCTACAATTAGTGAAGTAGTGGAATCCTGGTCCATCTCATAAAAGAGCTGGCTGTAAAATACCGTGGAGCATGCAAGAAAGAAGGGAAAACTATTGGTCAGTTATTTAACCTGCTGCTTATACAATCTGAAGTTAACCTTTGTTTGTTTGGAGGTGGGGTTTTGTGGGTGGGTTTGGGTTTTTTTTAATGTCATCACCCACCTGAAAGCTGCCGTGTATTTTGTCCTTACAAAAAAGTTCTGCCAAAGATAAACAAAATAGGGCCACAACAAACAAGGTAAATACCTTAATAGTGTTTTAACACAGGTAGGTCACAGTTCAGAATCCAGTTCCCTAAAGATTACAACAATACAGTAACAGTAACAGAGGCAGTAGAGCAAACTGGGGAAGAAGAGAGGGGCTAAAGGAAAAAATGTAGGGTCTTGCCTGTAATAAAATTTAGCCATGGCATAGTTTTTGTTTAACTGATACAGCCTGAAGTTCTGCCAGTAAAATGTAAAGAAAAATTACAAAGTCTATGAGCAGTAGCTGATGCTCTCCTAGTAAATCACTTGTCAAGTACATAGTACCGAGGTATTTGTTCGGTATTTAGGAAGCAAATTTGAATTATTCATACTTTGATAGCTTTGAGATCCTCAGGATTCTCCAGAACACACCTCGATGTAAATCAGCTGAGGCAAACTTAAAGAAAACTGTCTTTACGAGAACCACCCTTGGAAGGAGAGAAGCTCAGCATACCCTACTCCTCCAGTAAAGAGAGGCAAATGGGTACAAAGCATAAATACCTGCATTCCCTCATACTTTGTCCCTAAACACAGTAAGTTCTTTTAAACTGGGCAGTTTTCTTAAACAAAAGTGGAGTAGCTCAAACTCAAAACCCCATCTTTAGGATTAAAATTTAAGAGAGTACAAAGATGAATCTTTTTTGTTTGTTTGTTTTTAAATAAAGAAAAATGCAACAGATACTAACTAATGAAAAAGCAGCTAATAAATACCAGCTATGAAGCAGTTTTCTTATTGCTGTTTTCACTAACGTCTTATCACACACACAGTTGTTCTGTGGAAGGACAGTCATGTAAAATAGAAAAACAGAGCAGGATAAGCCAACAGAAGATAAACACTGCAGGGGGCTTGTTTATTATTTGTATCATTTTTAATCTGAGGAAGAATGAGAAGTTCTGCTCAATGTCACATAAAAACGGTTCAAAAGAGCATGACACTACAAGTGAAATCACAAATCACCTCGTCAAGTATTAGAGAAAAAGCTGCACTGCTAATCTTAATGCAAATGGTTGAGAGCTGCAGGTGCATCTAAACATCCCTGCACCAGGGAAGGGCCAAAAAGACCTGGGCCACGTCAAAAAACCTTGATGTCTGCTGGTGTTTGTTCTCACAGCTTGGGAGGAGCCTCAGAAGGGGTCTGGAGCTGTTCACGGTGCATGTCAGCGCCCATCAAGGCAGAAAGTGCCACTGGTTGATGCCCAAGCCCTTACGAAACGCCCTTGTTTCTCATCCCTCAGAGTAGAAACCAAGCTGCACACCTTGGAAGCTCAGTTTGCAGACCTGGACTCAAGTTTGCAAAAACTGGCACAGAAGTTTGAGCTGCAGGCCGGGATGCTGGAGAAGGAGATGAACCAGGATGCCCCGTGGCCGTGGGCGCCAGAGGAGAGGTGAGCACGGGGGGGGGGGGGGG